TGGCAGCCTACTTCAACAAAATTGAAAAAAAAATGGCAGCGATTTTCAAGCTAAAAAAACGCAAATCATTCTATTGAAACTCTAATAATTACCTCAACGACGATAGAAACCCAATGGCAACGTTAAACAGTGTTGATGGTGTGATGTTGGAGGCCACGACGGCTTTGACCGGTGACAGGCAGCAGCAGTTTCGTGAGTATATTTGGGTATGTCCGGAGGAGATGGGAAATAGGAAAAGAGGACGGTGGGAAGAGATGGAAAAGGGAAAAAGGGTTTAACACCACTAAAATTATAAAACTTTGCGGCGTTTGTAAACCCAACTGCCACTAAAGCATTGAAATAACAGCGTTTTGTTTAAAAAAATGCCACTAACTATGGATCCAATTATGGCATTTCTTAAAAAGACGACTAACTCTATATCCTATTACGGCGTTTGTGCAAAAAAAAAAACGCCACAAGTCATTACTATATTGCGTTAAAAGATGTTAGGATTTTATTAATGTTGGCGGCATTTGTTTAAAAGTACCACTATATATTAAACGTATTGCGGCGTTTTCTAAAAAACGCCACTTAGGTACAAGTATGTGGTGGCGTTTGTTAAAAAATGTCATTATATATGAAACCTATTGTAGCATTTATGTAAAAAACGCCAAGACAGTAGCAATCTGTTGCGGAATTTGTTAAAAAAAATACCGCTAAAGTTATTATTTTGTGGCATTTGGCATATAAACGCCGCTATATGTTTAAAGTTAATGCATTTTGCCTTAAAAATGCCACAAAAAACGCCCTATAGAAAAATTTTGTTGTAGTGAGATCAGGACATACATGTTAAAAATTGATGCATACCTGGCATACAAAAGTCTGAACACATGCTTGAAGAAGTAATCCCCTCCCTATCGACCGTACATATGACACCAGGCAATTTCACTAGCCTTCACAATTTGTTGTAACTCACTTCGACATCCTCGACACCCATAATCTTTTACAGCGTCGTATGCCACGAAGTATCCTTTCCACGCTCAACTAGGCTCGTCAGTGTCTCGGTGATGATTAGAGAACCTATGAATAAAATCGTGGTCGGGACGACGGCAAGCCCCAAAGACACTCTCCACCCATAAGGGTACATTTTTTATCCATAGTTGACCAAATTTGCAAACAATATCCCGATTACAAATAATTGAAAGAGAATATTGGTTGCTTCACGATGTTGGACTGGGGCTATCTCTGACAGGAACAAAGGAACTACCTGCACAATCAATTTTATTATTCACTGGAATATACAATTCAATAAAAATATGTACGATTTTTATTCGATTAAACCTCATTGCCAAAGCCAACGCCAATGCCAACGAGCACACGCACGATAATAAGCATCCAAAGGTTCCGAGCACTGGAACTCAAGGATGCACCAGACAGGAAAAATACGGAAGCCGCTAGAATCATCAGCTTTCAGTCGAATTTGGTGTAAACCTTTGAAGCAACAAAGCTTGAAACCAGAGCAACTAGGTAGAGTGAAAACGAAAAAAAGCTGAAGATTGATCATCATATTTGCAGTAACTGTCTTCCTTTGCATGCATCTTTCTTTCATGGACGTTGGGGAAGAATTTAATCAAAAAGTCATCCATGGCTTCACCCCACCTGTAATTATACAATTCAAATAAATTTCTGTCTACTAATTTCGGTAACAATATTTGATTCCAATATATAATTGAAAATTGGATAATTAACTTGAAATTCAATGTCGTAACCGAACATAAGTGACAAGCGTCGTAATTGTCAAATAAAATTTCTTATTCTCAAAATAAATAAATAAAGAAATAAAGTATGTCAAAGAGAAGAATGATTGATCCACAGAGCTTCTGATATTGAATTGTTTTGATCTTAATATAAAAATTATAAAAAAATGGTTTCAAATTGAAAGATGATAAATCAAGAATTGAAAGAAAGAAAAATTAAATAAAGTAAATCTTTAAAAGAAATCAAATGAGTAAAAATAGCATCAAATTTCACTTCGCCTCAATTCAAATTGATCATCAAAAGAATTTTACTCTGGATACATGTCGATTACAGTCTACAAGGCTCAACCTTGTAACTTACTTTTCTCTCCGGTAAACCTATATTCTCAAGTCAATATCCGGAATTCAGTTCTTACTTGAACTAACCATGGCTATCCGCATTAGTACAATGTAGCTTTAAGCATTGGAAAAGCCCGTTCTCGGATTATGGTCTCTCAACAATGATCGAATCCGATCTCGATTCATCTTGGTGGACCGTCACTAAATTTGTTCCTAGGAAGTTGAATTTAGACCAACTGATTCTTCCTCCAAACTATAAATTCAAATAACATTCAAACCAACGTCGACTTTTTAAAATGAAAGTGTAAATACTTTAAAGATAAGACCGATTGTCAAATCAATATTTCAGAGAATCAAGAATGCCACCCGAGATGTTAAGTGCTTTTCAGTTCTCACAAACAGAATTGAGTCATCCCTAGGCCTTTGGCTAATTAAAAGTTTAGCTAAGCATGATCAAAATCATGCTTAGCATTTGTTTAAAAAGAAAGTAAGAGAAAACTAAAGCAAAAGGAAAAGAACTTTGATAAAAACCCGAGAAAATTTTATAAAATCGAAATAAATAAATACATATTCAAGCAATACCCAAAGGGGTATTTATAGTCTTCTAAAACCCTAAAAATAAATTCAAAATAAAAAGATAATCCAAAAATAAAATAGTTCCCCATAGTATTTTAAATTCAAACTTAATACCTAAGATAAATCTCCCTAAGATAGCTTTGTCCGTCCACCTTCTAGATTAATGCTGACTAGATCTTCTAGAAACTGTCACGTCGAACTGTGTCATGCCCTAGGTCATGCCCATGTTCCTAGCCATGATTCCAAAAAATAAAAAAACTACAGAACTGATCCTTTTAATGTTGTTTCCATAAAATAAGCTCATGCAAAAAAATTAATTAAAACATCCTAAATCAGCAACATAAAATAAATAGAGAGGAATAATTATCAACAAAACATGTGCAATTTAAAACACTCATCAAATTCTCCCTCACTTATTCAATGTTTGTCCTCAAGCATAACTTAACCAAACCATTTTAAAACTTTTATTTACTTTCCTTTATCTCACCTCATATCTAGGGAAACCAAGTAAGTCAAGATAACAACAATTATCGAAACCAAAAATAACAATAAAGTGAAACGCATAAATAGGAATAATTTAAGCAAAACCATGACATTCCATTAATCTATCAATTTCAATGTAAGAAGACTCAACACCCTCACAAGGATTCACTCATTTCGCTCGAAATGTTTCAGGTGAAAGAAAACAGTCTAAGCCAGAACCTACCATGACATTACCATTGGCATGTAAGAAAATCAAATCTCCACCACTGAAAATAAACAAGATGCAATAATCAAAAGGTCTTTAAAAAGGGTTGCAATGAGGCTTAGGTAAAGGTAGGGAAGAAGGCCAAAATGGGTTAAATGTCAAGACAAGAGATGCACAAATAAGTTTAATTCCATGAGAAATACAATGTAACTAAAAGTAATGCAAAAAAAAAAAAATTGTAACAAATACTAAACAACCAATTGTGTTTCCTTTTTCGAACTTTTTTCCTTTTTTTGTTTTATTCGAACCATGCTCAATTTTTTTCTTCTTTTTTCTCTTTTTTTCGTCGATGAACATACATCAAGTAACTCATTCTCTTGTCCTAACAAGGATAGCAAAAGATGGTAAAATAAAAAGGCTCGATTTTAAAAATGTGATAAAAAAAACTCAAAAATGACTAACTAAGGGGAATGAATGAATACGCAATTCGAACCATCGCCATACATTTGGAAACTTAGCGATATGTAAAAAGTGGCTCGGTTTGTACCTGATTTGGGACATATGTTTATGAGTCAAAGTACCTCAACAGTCCTTTTCTACCTTCATAAAGTGAGTAAATAAGTCCATCTCTTAAATGATAGAGAAATTAAGTCCCCGTATTTTTTAAGTGGAAGCAATTTGTTGAAACTGAAACTAACACGTGTACAATTTTTTAGCTAAAATCCAAGTCATATGAAAATATTATTATTTTAATGTATCTCATTCATTATTGTCAATGCCACATCAACTTTGCAATAACACATATGCCACCTCAGTATTTTGATGATTCCCGTTATAATCGTTATAATCGTTATAAATTTTATCAATTTGCTTTAATTTTAAACGCATAGGGACTTATTTGCTCTCTACATAATTGTAGGGAGACTGTCCAAGTACTTTGACCAAACTATTATGGGCATATTTTGGCAAATGGGTCTCAACAACAGATCGCGTGGTGTGTAAAAGTGGATTGGGGGACTTTTCTAGGAATACTGAAAGTCCAAAATCGTAAGTTGGGCTCTTAGAAAAATTGAAATATCAAATCCAGCTCAAATTTTATACAGGTATAATTTTAGGGGTAGGTATTTGTACAGAAGTAGTGGTGTTCTTTTTAACTCCACAAACATATGTTAAAAAGTATATAATTTGTTTTTATATGAATAATTATTTGGCATACTTACAGTTAAATTTTCTAATTTTACAATTGGAGTTAAAGGAACAATCATGGCTCAATGTTCATGATAATGATAGGATCATACATGCAGTGTTCACCATATATATGTTGGAACTATTACCCAATAATTCAAGAGACATGCTCATATTGAAAAGGGAGAGAGGAAAGATAATAAAATATGACATTTTAATTTTAGGAAAAATAAATTTAGGTGGAATGCGATGGGAACTTGACTTTTGCTATGAGAATTTATAAGCAGTCAATTTAAAAAAATGAAATTTAACAAAAATAAAGCTTTAGGGAGACCTTATTCTTTGGACTTTATTCAACTTATTAAGCTGGAAAATGTGGGGAAGAGTTCAATCATCTGAATCATACTAAGCCACTTGGTTCCTATGCTTAAAAAAGTACCAATTACAAGTTGATAACAAACAGTTTTTTTCCTCAAAAATAAGGAAGATTAATAACAGTCCAAGTCGAGCTCGACCACGTCTAGAGGGGTCAGAACTGGAACTGCATCTCCGGAGAATAGCCGAGAGCATCAAGGTGGCCGGCCATGGCCTTGTTCATGGGTGGAGGACCACACCTTAGAATCTACAGGTCATAATATCAAAATTCATGGTTCATAAATTTTGTTATTTTTCCAAAAATAAGTCGATACATTTTGTTTCCATTTAGGAATACGGAATGTAAAGAAGTAATGTACCTTGATATCAGAAGCCGGTGCCGGGCAGTGGGTTTGAATCGTTTCCCTCGACACAAAGCCGATGCCACCATCCCACACTTCCGGAGGCTGAAGAAATATCATCGTCATAATGATGTTTGTTAAGAAAACGGCTATCAACGTTAACATCCGGTATGTAACAAGAGGCTAAGCGCAGAAGTTGAACTTCAAAGTTGCATGTATATGGAATGAGAGATACGGCAACCGAAAATATTTATAGTAGATTGATCAAGTAGCTCAAACCACATGCCATTTGCATTACCGAATCACAGGAAATAGTATATGTGCAGCTAAATGGAGTGACAAAGGAGTATCATAGATATAAATTTCAAAACTCGTTTGCTTCTCAAAGAATTTCTCTAAGAGGCTCTATTAAGCTATGTTACTCCGATCATTCATTTTTTTTTTTGAGGTATTCATGTATGACATGCATTAGGACACCCAATATATGGAGAAACTTGAAGAGAAGTACCCAAGCCAGACACATACCCATATCCGAATCTCATAACATGGCCACTATACCTGTCCTTTTTACATTTGAAAAATAATTAGTGTGTGTTATGGTCAGAGCAACAAACCTGGTTCAAAACATAGTAGCCATTGAAGCGACCGGGGTAATTGGAAACAAGGCTATCCAACTCTTCCTGCAAATAAATCATTTGAATTTCACTTTCTGATCCATTTCCTAATTCCTATGATCTAGTCACTAAAATCACGCCTGTATTACAGGCTGTGCGAGTACATCCATGCCTCCAAGGTAGCCATAACAATCATTGCACATTAAATGTGCAACGTTCAGAAATTATTTCAGTTATTTAAGGAAACGTGATTATAATATGGAAATGAAATCCACCATGAAATTTGTCATTATAAAATAAAACAGAAGCTGTGTTATTAAAAAATGAAGAGATATCCCTTAGCTTATAGAACTCTTAGAGAACAATCCTAAGTAAAACTCTGCAAAACAGATTAGACATAAGACTAACAGATTAAATTTGAATATTAAACTAAGTATTATTGAGGGATCTATAACCTACAGAGTCCTATGAGGTTATTCTAAAGGACTAGCATCAGATAGAAAAGACATAAGCAAGGTTTTAGGCCTATCTTGCCCGGACCTTTCCGCACCCAAAACGAAATAAGGGCCTTGTCCAGTATACAATTGCATTCAAGACCCAATATAACTCAGCATTCCCCTTAGAGGCAGGACTGTATTCTATTCTCCAAAGCGGAAGACTCAAAATACAAAGTAGAAAGTAAAATACCTTCAAAAGAATGTCTTCGTATGTAACGTTAGCATAAATAAGGTGTACATTTGTCATGTCTTTTGGGTTCTCCAGAATGGCTCTGGCAACCTAATCAGAAGCCAAAAACCAGAAAACAAATGATGGTGAAACATTATTCGAACATTGAAAACTGCAACAGGCAATGATTAAAACAAGTGGAAAAGGAAACATGTATCGAATCTAACCAAATATGTTAAAAAAAAGCACTTGTTGAAAAATGATTAACATACTTGGAACATTGGAGTAATGCCAGAGCCTCCAGCAATCATCCCAAAAGCTCTAACTTCACCAGGTTGATACCTGAACCGCCCCTGGAAGAAACGATTAGGAATAACATTAAAAAATGATAACCAAATGTGAATTCTCAAGCTGAACATAATTCAGACAAGGCCAGAAATACAGTAAGATAGCAAGCCTTAAATAATATGAGGAAAGCGTATAAAACAAACATGATGTGTTTGTATTCTGTAGGAAACGCAGTGGAATGTTTAGCAAGATTGCATCAGACTCAACGGTAAGCAAAAATGAGTTTTATGGTGATACTCTAATATTCTGTCGCAATAAAGGCAAAATGATTAGCCAAAAAGAAAAACCATTGTTGCTAACAATGTGGCCATAGTAATGTTATCCAGAGAAACAGGGTGCAAAAGCGACAGATAACCCTACGGACAAGGGGAAATTATGCTTTCATATGAAAGAAACTGTATACCTTGGGACCCTTCACGGAAAGATAATCATCAACCCGCATCTCTCTAAAATGGTGTGACATCCTTCCTTGAGGGTACATCTACTTGCAAGCAAATTACCATCAGAAAGTTCACAGATGGGGTGCACCCAGATATACAAAAATCACACTGAAGATAACTCCACCCAACGCAAAGTTTCAGGTAAGTACCTTAATAACTAATTCAAAACAACCAACATCAGAATCCAATGTTGTTGGCGTATATGGCTTGATAACCTCCTCACCTTGGCTATCCTTTCCCCTGTTAAGATGAAGAGCATCTAACTCATATAGTAGTCCAGTTCACAAGCATTTGGAAAGTAAGTATAACCATTATCCTAGGAAGAAATACAAAAAGGATGAATATAATCAACTGAACCTGCAACTTAGATGCTGCCCGATGGGAAGACCCAAAACTGAAGTAGGTGTAGGAAGTTCAAATGTGAACTTTGCCACATTATGACTCAACTGCTGGCGCTTGATGAGCTTAAAATCTTTGAAATTCTCTGGATCTAGACAGCCTAAAAAGCAAAAATGACAGTGTCAACAACTTCTTAAGCAAACGATACAATAACAAAACTTGGGGAAAGGAAAAGTGTACCAAGAAGTAGATTAATACTCAATAAATCAACTTTTATGGGGAAAAATGGTGATTGCTTTATTAGCAAATAAAAGTCCATTGACAACAGAGAATAATACAAGGAACTGAAGATCAATTAGAGCTCAACAACAGTTAACAAGCCAAACTCAAGTAGATTTATCACCGAGACTGCTTGAACCTGCAACTTTCCCTAACCTAGCGGTCATAAGTTAAAATGAACACAATAGCATAAGTTAAAATGAACACAATAGATCGGTCTCTTGAAATGCATAAATATGCAACTTTGATCAGATATTCAGAACAATCCACGTCAAAATATAGTCATATATTGACTCTGAAGACACTAGTTTTTTATTTCATTTGTTTTATTTATTATTATTATTTTGTTTTAATATTATTATTATATTATATTATTATTATTAAATAAATAATTTATTATTATTACATTTTTACAGCCCATTTTACAAAATTGAAGCCCAACAGTAACCGGCCCATATTCAGAAGCCCACAGGAAACCCTAAACCCAATTTAGGGTTTGTATCATCTCTTGCCCCAGCCGCCAACATCACAGCGTTGGATCTAGTTTTGATCCAACGGCCCAGATGGTCCCAACAAGGAAACCCTAGGGTGATACCCTAGGGACACGTCCCAGCCGCCGTTGCCTCCGGTGTCACGCCACCTCGCCGTTGAAGCCTCCAGAAGCTCTGCTGCCACGACGACAGCCACACACGTCGCCTCTACGGTGAGTCACCAGTATAGCTTTGGTGACTCACCAAGGCTTTCATCCTCTGGACTGGTCCGACGAGAGCCTCACCGAGGCTATAAAACCTCGTTTCCCCTGCAAACAAAAAAAGGAAAAAGGAGAGAAAAAAATAGAAAGAGGGGACAACATCCAACAGCCACAGAGAAGAAAAAAAAAGCAATCCAGCAACCACAAATCACCAAAACAGCAAGGAAAAGAGAGAAGAGAAACTTACCGAGGGAACAACGGTCATCAGAGCCTCATTGCGCCGTCAGAAAGCCAAAGGTCGAAGGTAAAATTTTTAGATCTACGTATTTCAGTAGTATTTTAGGCTAAAAAACCTCCGTATTTAGCTTTAGGGGAAACCATGCTTTAATTTGGGGTGGGTTTTGTAATTTTCGGCCATCGGATGTGGTGGCCGGCGGCGGGTTTGACGGTGGCCGACCGGAGATCATTTCCCTCCGGTGAGGGAAATTAAGAGAGAAGGTAGAGAGCTTCTTCTTCTCTCATTTTTGAGAGAGAAGAAGAAGAGAAGAAATGAGGATGCTGGCCCTTCGGGCCAGCCGTTTGGAGCTATATATATCCCTTCCCAAACGACGTCGTTTTGGGAAGGGGTATATGCGTAATTTACACGTATAGATAAACCTTTCCGCAGCCATCTTAGTTTTGTAACATTCCATTTTAGTCACTGAAATCATTTCCTATATGTCGTGATTTAGTCCTTTAATTTTATTTTCTTATAATTTAATCCTGATCGAATATTTATAAATATATTAGGTAAATAACATATTTAGTCCTTTAATTTTAATAATTAATATTTTAAACCCCGAACAACATATTTCAATTTATTTTAATTTGATATATGAAATTTATATAATTTTAGTTTAGTCACTAAATTAATAAATAAGGAGAATAGCATGTTTAGTCACTCAAATTTTAAATAATTAATTATGAATTAGGTATTTAATTCTATTAGGTTATAATTTAGTCACTAATTTCAATTTTTATTTATTTGTTTACAAGTTTTATTTATTTTAAATATATAGTTTTAATTTTATTCATTGTTTAGTTATATGTTCTGTTTACTTTTAATTATTATTACTATTATTATTTAGCCATAAATATATATTTATATAATAAATAATATTTATTTATTAAAATCTTATTTAATTACTTTTAACTTATTTTAATCCTGTTTTAATATTTATTTATTTTTCAATATTAAGAAAGGGCAGTCTTAAAACAACTGAATGTCCATTTTCTGATAGTTTTAAATAAATAAATATCCTATTTTATAAATTATATATTAATTGTTTTAATTATTAATTTATTTTTTAATATCGAAGAAAAGAGCTGTCTTAAGGCACCTAGAAGTCCTTTTCTGATATTTCTAAATAAATAAATATTTTATTTATAAATATATATAAATTAATATATTTTTTCATAATTATAATTTTGAAATAATAGGATTATAAATTAAATATATTTTGAATTTTTAAATTTCTAATAATAGATACAATTTATAATTAAAAAGTACCAATTTTGGGCATTGTGGGGGTGCTAATCCTTCCTAAACGTAACCGACCACGAATCCCTTTTTATTATTAAAAAGAACGAATTTTTGGTTAAAACGCAGATCAGTTTATCTTTTAATCGATGTTTTCTTAAAAGCTCTTTTAAAGGATGATTTTTAGGTATTCGACCTACCTGATCCAAAAGGCCGATGGCGACTCCCAAATTATTTTAAAAACCATTTATTCACATCACTTTTCCCGCCAAGTAAAAAATTCGTGCCCGGACGAAAACCGATTACGACAGCTTGGCGACTCCGCTGGGGATTGGTCAAACTTTAAAACCAATTATTAATTGTCTCTATCAATTAGAAAATTAAAAATTTGTATATTTAATTTTTTAATTCTTTCTTTTCAAAATTTTTATATATATACTTATTATTTTCATAATATTTATATGTTATTTTAATTAATGCTTTATTTTCAAATATTAAATTTTATTATTTATTTGTTAGATGTTTGAACATTTCTCCTCACACACAACACTTGCATTGCATAACATAAGCTTTTTAATCAAGCTTGTCCCTTTAAGTGGGAGTGAAAGCGACGTCTTCGTGAGAATTTATTCTCCGTGTCAGACCTAGCAAGTAACTTTCGGGGTTCATATGCTCTATGTCTTCGTGAGAATTTATTCTCCGTGTCAGGCATAGAGAAATGTGTCCCCTCGAATTGAACTCGATCCGCTTAAGTCTGTAATGGACTAGGATTGAGGGTTGACAGCCCAAGGGGGCATCAACAAGGACAGTTCGAGTACCTTTACTCATAGAACTGAAAACCTGCATATAATAAACCCTAGAAACTCTCCCGATCTGAAACCATGCCGAAATTTTGTCAGTAGGTATACACAAAGGAGAAATAAGCTCTAGCTTTTAATTTATTTAATTTATTATTTTTCTCTCTGAATAAATGCCTGCGAACTAGTAATCATATGTTAGGTTATTTTTCCAAACAAAGCATGGAACTAGAAAGCATGAGGTTAAGATTTATACCTTGATAGATAGATTTTTTTCCATTAGTTGGTACTAACTATTCTATTTTTTTCTTATTTTTTCATGTTACATTGCTCTAATCTGTTCATATTGATTTCTTTTGTTTGCATTGCATGATAATGGCATAACCAAAAGGTGTTTACTGGAAAGACTGTTCATCATATTGGAAAGAAATCGTAAATGGACAAAAAGTTTTATGATCAAACAAAATATGATGCGGCCAAGGAAAGACATCCTGAAGAAACTACGAGGATCGAGGGAAGTTCTGTACATAGAGAACCAGTTATATTAATACCAAAAATATTACACAAAGATCCTACCAGATTGATACCAAAAGCAGTCTACAGTAAGAGTATCAGTCGGGACATTTAGAGTAATGGAGGTTTTTATGAAGCTCAAGCATGTTATTTGAAGGACTTGAACGACCAAAACAAGAAATTGAGCACAGAAATGAAAACCATGCATGAAAATTTTTAGAAGATCAGTCAAGCCTTTCAAAATGCTAGCCTAGGAAGTACCCTAGAAGAGTGGATAATAGGGGTCACCAAGCTGAAAAAGAACTGCAACTTATATGAAGATCTTGTTCAAGAACTTCTTGGACAGAAAGGCTCTCTTACAAGGGAAAATAAGCAACTCCAAGAATTGATACAGAAGATGAAAGAGAATGTCATGGAAGAAGCTGCAGTCCAGACAAGCAATATGACCCATAAGCTGATAGACCAACCTGATTTTACGAGGAATTGAAGCAGACTAATAATTCAACTATTGAGCATGAATGGAAATTAACTTGGCTTTAGAGAAGTTAGGACTGAAAGATGTCCCATACATGTAAAAGTTTTGTTTGATGTACCGAAACTTTTGTGTTCAATGAAATCTGTTCTAAGATGATCATTCTTGAGTAACACCTTTTCATACATACATTTGCATTTTTCATCTTTGCATTTTTCATTTTTGCATTTATACTTTTATGTTTGCTTTTGTATTGCATAATTTGCATTTTTATTATTACATTCACATATTTACATTTACATTTGCATTTTTTACGTTTGTATTTACATTTTCATTTTTACATAATTACATTTGGTTTTAAATTATTTTACATACATTTAAACATGAAAACATGAGAGTAATTCATGGAGGATTCCATGACATAATTTCTGAAATCAAAGTGGAGCTAACTTGGTCTTCCTAAACAAGGATAAGAACCATGAATGAGATTTTAGCAAGGGTTAGTATAATTGAGAAACTACAAGAGCAACTCAACAAGAGATGATTGATCAAGTAAAAAAATCCCATAATGATTCAAAAGAGCAAATGACAAAACTGATGGACTGATAAATGTTTACTCCATGGAGAGAAACCCTTAATGGATCCCGCTATAAAGGCTATGAATAAGGTTCTGAATGATAATGATGAGTTCGATGTGATAGTGTCTGATGATCAAGAACCTATTAGAGAGTATGGTAATTCAAGACAGATTCAAGATTTGGTCCCAAGGGGCAATCTAAGGAGTCTGGTGAACACTACCCCAATTATAGCTGAAATGAGCACCCAGAACCCCCTCGATAACATGAGAGCATTCAGTCATTCAGAACGATCAAAGAAGGTGATAGCCTCA